TATGTCAGACATGCGGTGCACGTGAGTGCTCAAGTTTCGTGGCAGGGCCCCACCACAAAGCAAGGAATTTGCATGGTAGAGCTAGCTTGGCTAGGTTCACTAGGATTGTGCGTTGGCAATGCGCACGTTGAGCAAGCGTTGCTTCTGTGCGGTGAGATCATCTCGTCGACACGGGTCAACCTGTTGAGTGAGTTTGCTTGACGTCCTTTCCCATGTGCAAGTGTTTGTTCCACGTCTGATTTGAGCCGTTTTTTCTAGAAGCCGCCGATTCCGAATTCATTCATGAAACACAATGGCAATCCACAGGGTATTGAAACGATGATCCACGCTAGACACGTTACGCGATATTTGCCGGTCCACAAACAAAGCGGGAGTAAGAGACAACTTCATGGCCAACTGAATGAACCATTTGTTCAAGGCAGCCCCAGTTAGGATTGTTTTGCGACGCATGTGTGCATGAGACTGCTGCCCGGCAGAAAGGGAAACACTTTGCTGGCAAGCATTTATCATTCATCTTTCATCATTCAGTTTGACGGTCATATTTCATACCCTCACACACACACACACCACACACACACACACACACACACACGCACCACGCACACACGCCCACGCACACACGCTCACGCACACACGCACGGACGTACGCACGGACGTACGCACGCACAAATCTGACTGAGGGGAGTGCCTTTTCAAATTGGCCAAGTTTGATTTCGGGTGGCATTTGCCTTCTCAATTCGTGGACACGCTTTTGCATGCTCAGCGAGGCTTCTCTGGGCTGACCCGGCTTCCACAGGGGTGCAGCACACGCAGAACCTAGTAAAACACTTTCAGCCAAACGTCAGGAGGAGACGTCCTATCGCATCGTCGGATGTGAACGTCTCAGTTGGCAGAGATTTAGCAAACTCCGTCACTGCCGTAAGTTGGGTCCAGTGCAGACATGAGACAATGAATTCAGCCCAGCTTTTGCTACACATTTCCTTGCCGGCTTCCCCCGCCAGCCCAGCCGAATTATTCACAACGACTCCATATTTTCGCTGGCAGTCGGCGTCGCATCCTTGCATTCTCACGCTGCTGGTGGTGACTGAAACTGAATGAGCGATATGCGCAATTTTTAGCCTGGCCCAATCCGAACAGTTCTGCGTCCCCCGCAAAACAACCACAATGGAAGAGATATGGGTTTGTCTTTTTTTGGTGTGTTGAGTTGCTTCAAAAGGCAGAAGGTGGGACCTCCCCGAATCATACCCCCGAATCATACCCCCGAATCATACCCCGAATCATACCCCCGAATCATACCCCTTAAAACGTATGCTGCAAGATGCTACTGTTCTTCTACCGTTTTGTGTTGTTCACTGTCTCCACAACAACCACCACCAGCGCTACCCAATACTACCACTACCACTGCCACTACTACTACTACTACTACTACTACTACTACTACTACTACTACTACTACTACTACTACTACTACTACTACTACTACTACTACTACTACTACTACTACTACTACTACTACTACTACTACTACTACTACTACTACTACTACTACTACTACTACTACTACTACTACTACTACTACTAACTACTACTACTACTACTACTACTACTACTACTACTACTACTACTACTACTACTACTACGCTGCTGCTACTACCGCGACTACGAGTAGTACTACCACTACCACCGCTACTACCGCTGCGACTACTACTCTACTGCTTCTACTTCTGCGTCTGCTACCCTTACTACTAACTACTACGCCTACAACCTTGACTACTACTACTACTACTACTACGACTACTACCTTTATTACTACTACTACTACTACTACTACGACTACAACCTTGACTACTACTACTACTACTACTACTACTACTACTACTACTACTACTACTACTACTACTACTACTACTACTACTATTCCTGCTTCTGCTGCTGCTGCTGCTACTACTCACTACTACCACATACATCATTCTGAGTCTGTAATCAGTGCCGTTTTGCACCTAGCCGAATCATACCCGCGAATCATACCCGAATCATACCCGAATCATACCCGGACAATGAGCTTCCCCTGCCAAGGCTGGTGCTAAGTCTTTTTCACAGCGTCCGCACCACTACAGCCGCTGCTGCTTATGCTACAGCTGCTACCACTACTTCTGCAACTGCTACTACTACTACTACTACCACTACTACTGCTACTACTACTACTACCACAGCTACTACGCGTTTGTAATCAGTGCCGTTTTGCACCTAGCCGAATCATACCCGCGAATCATACACGAATCATACCCGCGCATACACGAATCATACTGTTACTACTACTACTGCTACTACTACTACTACTACGACTACTAGTACTACGACTACTATTACTACTACTACTACTACTACTACTACTACTACTACTACTACTACTACTAGTACTACTACTACTACTACTAGGACTACTGCTACTACTATTTACTACTACTACTATTACTGCTACTACTACTACAACAGCAGCTACTACTACTATTACTGCTACTACTACTACTACTACTACAACTACTACTAACTACTACTACTACTACTACTACTACTACTACTACTACTACTACTACTACTACTACTACTACTACTATTACTACTATTACTACTACTACTACTACTACTACTACTACTACTACTACTATTGTTACTACTACAATATTACTACTAGTACTACAACTTTGGCGACTACTGCTACTACTACTCCTACTACTACTACTGCTGCTGCTGCTGCTGCTGCTTCCGCGAATCATACCCCCGAATCATACCCCGAATCATACCCGCGAATCATACCTGCGAATCATACCCCGTACTCAAACCTTCCTGCCCGGCCACCCTAAAAAAATACAAGCCCATATATATATATATATATATGCAAAGAGTGCTTGCCTGATGTTCTTCTGCGAAGGCGCTGCGTCTCCAAAAAGGCCTTGGAAGAGCAGAGCAGCTGGAGCGGGCGACGGTCGACGGTTTGAGGGCTGGTTCAAGTCTCGACATATTTGCCATTGTGCCGCTGCCACTAAAACTGCTGATGCCGCAGCCGCCCCTGATGTCGCTTCTATCCGACTCCCTTGCACAATTGTTTCTAGCACGCGTGTAGGAGCAGACTATGCTGGCGGGTGGCATTTGTTTCAGAAGTCGTGAGAGAAGGGAACCAATCCTTGATTCAGTTTCAGTGGCCCAGGCTTTAGCTAGATCACGAGCCAACCTACTCATTGATATGCAACTTGATTTGTTTGTCTCTACGTTCAAGGTGCGAAGATCCGAGACTCGGGGAAGAGATGTTTGCAATCGTCATGATCTGCAGCACAGCAGCTTTTGCAAGACGATGTCAGCTGACCAGCCCAATCCAGAATATGTCCTGCCACTCAACTCAGGTTGCCACTGGCTGGCATGTGCATTCATGAGAAACTAGAGCACAAGTGGGGGCCTATTGAGATGTGCTTGTTTGTGGGAGTAATCGCCGGATTCGTGTTGAACGCCAGAGAGCTACTTCCTGAAACCATACCCCGGGGCTTTACCAATTCGCGGGACAGCGCGACAGCTCGCCGATGGCAACCGCATTCAAAGTGTGGATGCCAAAGCTGAATGGTATTATCGGAGGCATGTTTGAGCAGGTGACTGGGACGCAAACCCCCGCAGTCCGATTCCAGCTTGTCTCTCTCTCCCTCTCTCTCTCTCTCTCTCTCTCTCTTTCTCTCTCTCTCTCTTTGCATTGCAGCGTCACGTCCCCCCTGAGTTGCCCCGATCTGCCCCTTCATGACCCTGAACTGTCATCTCACTACTGGCTTTCCCCTTGATTTCCCCTTCATGTCCTTTTCACGTTTCCCATGATGTCCTGGTCATGTCCCTTCCATTCCTTTCAACTCCCCTTCATGTCCCTGTCATTTTCTCGGTATGTCCGCTTCATTTTCCATGCATGTCCCCTTATTTCGTTGCGAGTCAGTTCCCTACATGTCCCGTCGTGCCGATTGGTTGCCTTGTCCTTTGTTTCCCTTTCATTCCCCCTGCACTCCCCTTGTTTTCATTTCTGTCCCTTTCATGTCCCTTTCAGTTCCCTTTTGTTTCCCTTTCGTTTCCCGTTGCTTTCCTGTCATGTCGACTTCCTATTTCCTCCCCTCATTTCCTTGAACTTCCTTGCATTTCCCCTGCGCTCCCCAGCATTTCACGCAAAAAAACACGGTTTCTCCTGGGCTCCTCTGGCGCTCTCCATTCAATTCCAGCTTGTGAGTCCCGATTTTTTCAAGTCCACCTGGTCGGGAAGTCGCATCAACTGCTTGTGGTCATGAGCGTGCCAGTGGGGGAAGTGTCAGGGAACTCGCATCAACTTGCGTTTACAGTGGGGGAACGATTCATACGTGATGAAAACTCTTGTTTTTCGTGAGTAGGGAGCTGCTTTTGCGTGCCGAATGCGGGAGTTTTTGTTGCCAATGGGGGGAGGGTGCTCACTCGAGCTTCCGGGCTTCCAACCTTTGCTTGTCATACGGCCGCTAGTGTCACGCAAGACTTCCAACCAACAGCTGAAAGCGATGGGGTTTCAGTGCCAGATAGGCTCTGTGGTCCGGGGTGGCAAGGTTCTGCAGGGTTGTAGAGGGTTGCACGAGGCTCTGCGAGGGTTGCGCGAGGGTTCCGTGGATGCACCGGGCAATTCCGAGGAGGGTCCGCGAGGATGGCTGGTTTGGCAGAGTCGGGTGATCTCGTCTAGATCTCGTCCGGGTCTCGTCTGGATGTCGTCGCGGGCTGGCAGAGAGAAGTTGGCGCAAGCTGCGTCTCACAATCGCAAGTTTAGGTGTCAGAAGGTCGCCAAGTGATTGTGCGCGTTCCATGGGGATAAGATTTTCAATGACCCCCACAAACATGTGCCACGAAGTGATTTCCCTGATTCACAAGCGCATAGGCAACGCGCATTTTGAGGTGACTAAAACATCATTACTTTTGTGACATATATTGCGACGTTGCAGTGGCCGAAAAAGTTGAGGTGACTTTCCGGGGCTGTTGATGCGCAGCGCTCCATGAAAAGGATCTTGGCCAGAAGTTGAGGCAACTTCCTGCGACCACAGTATTTGTACTACACAACTCGAGCTTCAGACGCCAGAGCGGGGAGCTTTTTTTTTCTCTTTTTCGGGCAGTTGTTGGGTGGGCGTGGGCTTTGCGGTGAGCAATGCCTTGAGGATTCACAAGTCCAGCAGCTGGGCTGCACGTTGATTTCGATCGCATTTCCAGAGCGTTACCGGGCTTTTAAGGGTGAAAAGTGCATGTTGGCGCGGCTCTGTTTGCAGGTCAGGCCAAGGGGAGAGAATACGAGTGGATGGATCAGTAGTGTTCTTGTGTGACATGTTGTAGCAATGCTAGGGGATTGACAACATGATGGCGGGTCCTAAGAAAGAGGCCTTTTCGACTTTTGTCTCGAAATGCTGACATAGTTTCCAAAAAGGTGACTGACGTTTGCATGCTGTTGTTGTTTGTGTGTCAGTGTGCCAGTGTGTGTGTGTGGTGTGTTGTGATTTGTTGTGTTGTGTTGTGTTGTGTTGTCGTGCTGGTGTGTATGTGTGTGTATGTGTGTGTGTATGTGTCTCAGCTTGTGTGTGTGTTGTCTTGTTTATTGTGCATGCGTTGTGTGTGTGTGTGTGTGTGTGTGTGTGCGTCTGTGCATTTGTGCGTCTGTGTGTCTGTGCGTTTGTTTGTTTGTGTGTGTGTTTTGTGTCTTTTTTGTGTGTGTGTGGGTGTGTTTGTGTGTGTGTGTGTCTGTGTGTGTGTTTGTGTGCGTGTGCCTGCGTGTCTGTGTGTCTGTGTGTGTGTGTGCGTGCGCATTATTTCGATACACCAAGTCAAAAAGGATCCCCCGGCAAATCCGTAAGTTGGCGATTGAGTCTGGGCCCTAGTGAGCAAGTGTCTCAAAGAAGAACTGAGGCAAGTGCAAGTACTACAAACCGGGAGACGGAAAAGAGTGGAGCCACGCGGAAAATAAGTGCACGGAGGACAAGGTGGACGGTCACTGGGTGATGCGCCTTGGCACGCAGAGCTTCAAGCGGCAATTGGATCGGATCTGGTTCGTTAAAGAAAGAGAGACGGGGATAAAGCGTGGTGATGGTGTGTGCACAATTTTTCCGATTCGCTTACTTGGTGTGCATCACAATATTTAGCAACATTTTATCAACTGATGGAGGGTGCAATAATGTGCATACTTGGAATCGAGAACCTCTCAATTGCTTTGTGCGAGCCCCTAGCTAGCACATGTACAATCCTTGCTAGTGAGGGAATGCATTCAAAAAGAATTCGGCGTTCTCAGAGGGGCGCGTTCTGTGCACGAGGGCTCCGTGAATTAAAGGTCAGTCCTGAATTACTTGCTGGTAGGTTCGTATGCTTTGATAACATGAGAATGTGAGATCTGGGCTGAAGCGGCATGATTCACCCTCTCTTGGTTTGACCGATGCTGCTCCCAAGTCTGTCTCATAGTATTATGTGGCAAGGCGGCAATTCGCGGTTTTTGGGCGATTCGGAAGCTGAAGACTGTACAGATACTTGTGCAGTCGACTTTCAGGTAACTCGTTGCGTGCCGTTGCATGTTACGTCTAAATATGAAGACACACACACAGCGTGTTTGTTGTAAGCATCAGGTGCACCACGCGTTGGTGAGGCTAGAGGCCCCAGGCCACATGAAGCCGTCGTGACGTGGCGGACGTCTCAACAATGCTTAGATCATTGAACAAGGCAAGTATGACCCCCAAAGAAGCTTCAAGCAGGACACCTCCCTGCACACACAGACGCATATGGGACACATGTCCAAGGCCTTGATCGTTGAATCACGTCAGCTGCAGGTATGTGTATTTTAATCCCTCGTGCTTTTTGCCCGGGTTGATTTAGATCATGATGTTCCGCCGGCGTGTCAACTGTAGCGGAGTAAAATGCAACGAAGTTAGGGCACTACTTTGCTTCTCAACGGCTTGGTTGCTTGCCTATTGTTTGTTATGCCTTGTCCCTTAGTTTGCCAGATGGTCAAGGTGTTTTGTTTCTGCTGTGTTGGAAAGTAGCTGGTGATGAGGATGCAATAGCCTTTGATTGCCTGGTCTTCGGCAAATTGCAGATTGGGTCAAAGCGTGTTTGAGCAAATGACGCTTGGGCAATATCCGGATGTTTTGTTGCTTGGTTGTCTGTTTTGCAGCAAAAGCTCACAAGAACTCAGTACTTGCGGCGCGAACATTAATCAACTTACTTTTTCTGGCAGAGCTTGCTTTAGCCATTTCCCTTGAGGACTATGTTAACAGTTGTTTCTTTGGGTAGAGCGTGTTTAATTATGAATTTGCAGACTGCCGCGTCGCCTTTGTCCATCGGCCTGAACACCTGATAGATGGGCACATAGAAAATTCAAAAGCGCCGCCGAGTCCAACATGGTCAAACCGCAAAAAAACAGCATTGCTTTTCTGCCCTTCTTTTGTTGATGCTCTGCCCACCAGGAGCGAAGGTCACTGGAAGAAG